GAAAACTTAATTGATCTTGTAATGCTTGCGTGAAGTCAGTTCAAGAATTTGTTTCAACTTCAGAATATGTAAATAGTCACTTCCTATCAAAAGAGATAGACCCCCTTCATCTATATTGATTACAACGCCATCCCTAGAAGGACCCTTTCCGTTTTCCGTCATTTCATTTGGTAATCACTTGGAGGAAAGCAAATATCTTGCAGACTTCTCGCCTACACAGTTAAAATTTTTGTGAACAAGTTGTTTAAAAGTTTAAACAACTCTTGATTAACGGGTGACCTGATCTAAGAGTTGTTTAAAATGTTAAGCAACTCGAGTTGTTTAAAGTTTAAACACTAAGTTGATCAACATTTTGAACAACTTGTTTAAAATCACAATTTAAACAACCGGTGTTGTTTAAAGACGGTTGTTTAAAACGGAGCTGTTGTTCAGTGGAGGTTGTTTACACCAACTGGGTTGTTTAAAGAAAGTTGTTTAAAAAGGAGCTGTTGTTCAGTGGGGGTTGTTTACACCAACTGGGTTGTTTAAAGAAAGTTGTTTAAAACGGAGCTGTTGTTCAGTGGGGGTTGTTTACACCAACTGGGTTGTTTAAAGGAAGTTGGTTAAAAAGGAGCTGTTGTTCAGTGGGGGTTGTTTACACCAACTGGGTTGCTTAAAGAAAGTTGTTTAAAATGGAGCTGTTGTTCATTTGGGGTTGTTTAAACCAACTGGGTTGTTTAAAGAAAGTTGTTTAAAAAGGAGCTGTTGTTCAGTGGGGGTTGTTTACAACAAAAGGGTTGTATAATGGGGTATAATTTGGGTTTGATACTCTGAATAAGTGCACCACTACTTCTGGGTCTCTATATAGGTATATGAAGACTAGGGTCATTCTGCAATTCATGAATTAGCGCCAAAACAGTGCCCATTTTGCATGAGCGCGCATGCACGCACGTATAAACTGCATATATAGGGATGCATGCAATCTCTATGGCAAGGAATTTAGCACACGTTATAACCGAGTGCGCGATCAGTGCCGCACTGCATGACGCGACGATTTTAAGTCTACCAATATTCTGACATTTGCGTACAGATACCGAAAATTTTAACTGTGAACTTACGCTATAAGTTAAAAACTTCAAAGTGGTTAATAGAAAAGTGATTTCAATTAAGCCATTGAATCCCCAGTCACTTAGAAGCGCGTCGGTAGCTTGGTCGGCCATGATGTTGTGTTGTGGGTTGGAAAGTAATAACTATTAAGCTAAATAAATGTAAGTATAGAGACAAACAAGATGGAGCCTGCAGAAACACGTGTGGTTGCTTTGGTAGTTTGATCCAGACTCAATGTCCATGTGCTTTTACATATGTATCAATCTGTGTAGTCAACAAAAGGCCCTTGCATACACTTGCATTGTGTGTATGCATCTAATATGAATAACAATGAGCTGTGCCTTAACAGCTGCACTGCATTTCTAAGTGGCATGTTAATTTCAATTGCATGTTAGTTTCAAGGAACCTGTTTCTAAACATAACAATGTGAAATAAAGCCTTTAGCCAACACGCACTTAACTGGCACGAGACACATGACGTCATATGTAAACAACACTGTCTAAAAGCTCTCGTATAGTAAATATAGCAGTCATTAAATTTTAAACAACGAATGTTTAACAAAATTACTTCTGTTTCGAGCAACATTGTTTACAATTTGATCAACTGTTGTTTAAGATAGTGTACAACTGTAAGTGAACATCACTTTTTTAAACAGCGTTTTTACTGTGTACAGAATCACGGAGCTTGCTAGAAACGGAGCTTGGTAAAATAAAGCCTCAGGAGAACGAAAAGAGGTGGTTCCTTTTGACAAGATATTTGGGAAAGGTGGCTGCACGGAAGAAAAGGGGAAACACGAGAGAAGTAAAGGGAGTTGAAAAGAGCCTATTTCGTATACCCCATAAGCATGATAAGAAAAAGATATATGCCGCTATCCTGCACCATGGAGTGCTTGTCTCACATTACCTTCTTTCGGGCTGTATAACCCTACCTCGATCTAACCACGTGTGATTTCAATGCGAAACATCTAACTGGAGGACTGTTTCCCTCTGAAAGTCCCCGGTTGGACGGCAATATTTCATGTTTAAAATGCGTGTAGTTGATAGTCTTCACGCTGAAAAAAATGAAGGTGGTTTTAACCTAAACTGTAGACTAATCGACTGATTTTACTACCTAATGACGAAACCAACATGTTGTTTGGTTTATTCGATATTTTAGATTTCTTTGTTGTTATTGTAATAGGTGGTTTGAATCATGATTAAGACCCAAACCACATTTATGTCATCTTGGCAAGTTTACGTTCTTTAATAACTTCCAACTTATCTCAAGTATCACAATGATGAGGTAAATATGCATGCTCATGAATAGGTCCACCATTATATTAACCACATCCTACGATGACGCTGCATGGTGTTCTATTGGAAGGACTGACAGGTCCGTGACAATTTCGGGGTCAGTTTGAAGATAGAAATCGGAAGAAATATGACAGGTGGATGGGCCATTTCATAGCACTAATTTGTTAAGATAGGATAATGGATTTTAACTCTTAGACCGTCCGAAGTCATCTAGGGGAGAGAGAGGTGGTGGAAATATTAATAATGGTTTTCGAGGAAGAGCTCTTACTTGATTTAGTCTAATCAACATGATCATGTGATGTATAAACATTTCAAATATTGTCCTTCTTGTTTCCAGTTTAATCCTGCTTCACGTTTCACACGTTTTCTTTTTTTCAGTATAGAGTCACCAGCTTATGCAAATATTTCTAAGCTTAATTTGTTATCTACCCCTTTACGCAAGTGCAAAATAATATTGGATTAACACAGGTAGAGGATTCATGAAAATGTTTACAACTTATCATGAAAAGCGACCAAAGCTGAAAGGGGGAAATATAACCGTTCCACTTTTTTCATCCTACACGCCATTTGGGATGGGTTTCGATGTCTAGTCTTGGATAGACAGAGATAGAGACAGTTTATCCGGTCAGCTCTTGAAACGTTTCCCCTCGGCCTCTTGGACAAAATGTCGCAAGTCAACCGCATTTTGAAAGTTAATTCTAGCCTCTTCCTGAAAATTGCTCACTGACTTTCTTCCCGGATAAACAGATGAATTTCTCCGGATCGCCCCTAATACTGATTGCCAAAATGAAGTTATAAAGTATGAAAAGAGTATTACATTCTCCCTACATTTGATAATATTGAAGCAATGAAAAACATTAAAGAACTCTTGATGGTTCATTTTGATATCACTGAAGAGATGCTAATGAAGCAGGGTAAAGTTAAGAAATGATTAATGGCTGCGTCAGTCGAGAGATACCGAAAGAGAAAGCTTTTTCTAACACATTGTTAGACCTACAGGCATAGGCATCGCAGCTCGTATATAGCTTCATTCTTACCGTCTTTATGAAAAGTTTCAAAATAATGAACACGAAAAAACAACAATAACAAACAAAGAAAATATATCTGTCCCAGTCAAGTAAAGTAATAAGATGAGAGGTTTCCTGAAGGTAATGGGAGGGGGGGGGGGGGGCGATATCGTTAATGTATTTTGGTTCAAAGTATACTTTAATCATTTAAGATGATTAATATTATTAATACATGAATATTTAAATTAATTTTACAGCTGTCAATGAGACCATATGATCATATAGTTAAAATGTAAAAGTATGATTTATTGTTCTAAAAAAATGTAGTGCTGAGTTTATTAATGAGCAATCTGTAACTTAAAATGTGTTCAATTGACCTATGCTTTATATACTGTATATAGTTGTAACCATGTGAAAGAATAATTTCCACTTAATGTGGACAATAAAACAAATCAATCAATCAATCAATCAATAAGAGTCTAATTAAAAATCTACTGTTAGTAACATGTCATTTTGTATTTTGCTTTAATTTGTGTCAAGGTGTTGTAATCTAAATAATCGTCTCCTGAGATATTTGGGCAGGCGTACAATGATACTTTCAGGGCCAAGAAATGTTTCATAAAATGAAATCCTAAGCGACAAAGCAATGCCACATGATTCTTTGTGAGCCAGAATCAAACACTCAGGAGGGTTCCTAAAGAAACCGTCGTGCAGATTCGAGGCATCACCATCAATTTCCTCCGGACTTTCCTTGGCTGAACCGGGCTAGGCTCTAGCGCAGTTCCGATATCAATTAACCAGAAGTCCTGTACCAATTAAGGCACTTGTCAGTTATTCAAACATGCACTGAATACCTTTCTATATGGAACAAAACTACCTCAGCATTTCACTGACCCTGATCAATCAGGAATAATTACCAACTTTCAAGAGCTTTCAAAGATTGCATTCAGAGAACCGTTGATGTTCTTTCTTTGAATGAAGGTTTTCGATTATTTTTAGATAATGAAGATATTAGTCATCCTCATCATGCTCATCAAATATATTTGATAACCTGAACGTGTGACAGCGCAAAGTTCAGTTTCCGATAATTATTAGTGACTTTATTAAATTATTCTAAACATTGCGCAGCCTTGATGTTGAGCTGCACATCCATGTCAAGACACCGAATTACCACCTTTTTCCCTTTCTTTTATTATAGCAAATATATATTCATCGGTTCATGTCACTGTTTGTATCATTCCAGGTCAGAAAGTTTGTTTCTTATGATATATGGATGAGTTATGATCTACCATAGTAAAATGATAATAGATGTTCATGAAAATTATATGAACGATACACATTTAAATATCATATATTGCAGATAGGCGTATACATGTACGTATGTCTTACCTTAACTATTTGGTCGGACATAATACTTCGGAAAGTGATTCACACTTCCTCTTCCATCTCCTTTACACCTTTCATGAATTTCATGATCATGATGATAGAACTTAGAAAGGGAATATGAAACATGTTATCTTTCGATAGAAAGGATTGCCTTTTGAAATTCAAGAGTTGCGTTCCACAAAGGTCAAATAACGATTCCCATCAGATAAGATAATCGAACATAACTTACCTCAAAAACGAGCAGTAGAGATAACATCCATATCTTTGCCATTTTGCCGCTGAACAAGGTTTCGTTTATTTAAGGCACCAACTTCTAGTGTAACCGCAACGTTTAGCCCGACGCCACTCCGATGAAATCAAATTCAGGCTCCTTGTTACTTTAACATCGATTAAGTAACTGACTCGTATTAATGACTATTATCCCACATGATATCCTAACAAAACGCTGGAAAATCAAAAGCTGATAATATTTTTTCTGCTCCTTCGTTCTCTTTCCTTGTTATTCGTTCACGTTCGACAGTTGCCAAGATATCGTTAGATCCGCGGGTGCCGCATGAGACAGATCGAGCAGATGGTCCTAGGACGAGCGCGTTTAGTCGCAAATACGCGTTCGTTTGCTATGATAGAGATGAAGGGAAGGCGCGGGCAGATTAAAATCATGCAAAAAACTTCGATGAAATCCACATTTTCATATATCTTTGAGAACTACCGTTTGGCCTATTGAAGGAAGTAGCAATAAAGCAACGGATCTAGGCAAGGGGCATGTGCGTGCCAGTCGGATGGGAACCCAATATTAGGGACTTTTAGATTTGCGTGGACTGAAAAGTGTGACGTCCATTCAAGGCAGTGCATTAAAAGGACGTCGACCGTAGCAATCCCCATTGTCTTCGTGCGAATCTAAAAGTCCCTATTACCGAAAGTCACTATTACCGAAAGTCACATGGTCATTCATTTTTTAAAGGAACTTACTTTTTTCCCTCCCGAAATATACCCACAAAGCGTAAAGAAAATTCTCCTACAAATCGATAAATCATCCAACCTCTTACATAAATTTCCTCGTCAATGCCTTATTGATAACAATGATCGGTTTTTATCAATAAGGTACGCAACATTAGTAACATGAAAAATGAGTATGACATTAAAAATGAAGACATGAGAAAATGTTGAATGAGTTTTGCCATTACATTATTTTAAATCGAATTATGATAATATCATACCGAAGGGAAAAAGCCTTGTCACTTATGTATTTTGGTCAATCTAAATATCTAAAATGATCTTCAATATCCAAGTTTTAGAGAATGTACAAGGTAACAACAATATTGTCTATGCCCAAATAAGCAATGCATATTTTTTAAATGCAGAATACTTTTATTAAGAGATTTGTTAACTCTCGATAACTTTCCTGGATAGCAGTCTGAAAATTTCATGAACAATAACAAACGTGAATGTTACATCCCTGTGGTTTCCATAGTTACAATGCTTCAAAAACACCAGGGTCCAAGGGGTACTTAGTTCGACAGGTAGTGTCACTTACTCATCAAGCTTGCACTGGTCTATTCCAAGTCGCCGAGAATAAAACTAAACAAAATGAAAAGAGGACTTTTCTTTTTACAAGAACATCATCGAAAGACATTAGTGAACATTCCTTCACCCGTATACCAATGTTCATTTTGTTCAATTTAAGGGGTTTAGTCAGTTGTTGTTTGACATATTATCGAATAGTTTTCTTCCAGTTTCGGAGGAAGTAAAAGTCAAAGAGTCTTGAAGAAGGTTATGATCTATTGTTGTAATTAGCTGGAGTGACAGACGATGGTGTCGTCTGTTAGACAGGTGATTCACCTTTAAACAAACAGTTGGCCCCTCGGTGAGTAGCAATCACAGTTTGGTCATTAAAAATCATGCTAATCTCACTTAGTCATCATGGCTTCAGGTTAATTTTATAACGGAGAGAATTAATCCGATGGTTGATTTTAAGCACGTTGTGGGTAGCATAATGATATAAATAATATCAATTAAACGTAATAGTTTATGGTTAAAGGTAATACAAAGTTTTGGGAAATTGTGAAAATTGGGTGGATAGTGATTCTTTACAATTTTAATATATTCGGATGGCCCTGTGGATGTATTATGAGCACTGGAAAATTCAGTCCCTAAAACACTACTGCTTTCGAGAAAAATTGAATATAAAAATTTACCGGTGCTCCCGGTAAATTTTGATGAATTTCAAATAGGGCCTACGGCCGTACAATGCTAGCTGCGACCATGGAAATTTCAGAATATGTAGTTGTGATATATAATTTCCAAACGGGAATAGCTAATCGGTTTATTTTAGTCAAGAAACATTGTTTTATTGCCTAATTAATATATTGACCTTGAGAGGGAGCTATACAACATAAAGAGTTTATTATTTACAATTTCATAACTTTAGACTCGATTTCAACCGCGACAACGATCACTGAATGCTGTGGGATCGAACATGTTTCCAATATATTTGAACCAAATTCATGACCCCATACCAAAACTTTGTATTACCTTTAACAGGGTAGACTAAAATATATGTAAACAACACCAACCACTGTATTGCATGATAAAGTGGTTCTGATTGACAAATGATGTACAATGGAAATTGAAACATAAATAATGCTGCGATGAATAAGTGTGTAGTTTTACCCGATTTTTTGTAAAGCTGCTTTAATAAAAAGAAAAGACGTAAAGAGTGATAGGTTTCTACATCCAATCTAGGGTCCCCATTTTTCCTCAGTAATCGTCCCACGCTTACCTGAATGGATAATGAATTGATTAATAAGATCATTCAATTTACTATTTAAGCAGTCGGTAACAGCCCACTCACTTCATGTTGAATATAAGGTGGTGTACACGCAGTGCGAGAAATAAATCGAATTTGAGGGAAAATTTCGAAACTATCTCAAGAGTCGACTGTAACTCGAAATGTGAAAATAAGCTGGCTTAAAATAAACTGTAATAATAACGGAGAGTTTGACCCAAAATGCATGCATTATATAAAATCATCTTCTCTTATCATAATTTTGAAATAAAATAAACAAATAACAGATTAAATATATCCAAATTTTGAGAGAGAGAGAGAGAGAGAGAGAGAGAGAGAGATACACTGGTATGGCTTCTAGGCTGATGGAGGGGGAGACTGAGGGAGGGAAGGGAGAAATAGAAAGATAATTTTAAACAGCATGACATGGATAAGTTGCCCATTCTTGAAGGAATACTTATGCCACTGACCAAACAAGTTTGCCTTGAACACTTTGGAGAGAGGTTGTCTGTTGGGAAATGATAAGACGGGAATCTAGTGTCAAGGTTTTCAGGCTATCTGACTTCTGGACGAATCGATATGATATCATTGCAATAACGCCGATGATTTTCCTGAAAATATAAAGGATATTTTGATTAAGATTTCAACAGGATAGTTTGTCTAAAAATGCCGTTTTTATCATTTTGACTAGTCTTTTAAAAATGTTTGTCGATAATGTTATCTCCCATTTCATATACATCTCATGTTCAATCTTAAGTAAAAACGTCGAATATTAAGGAGTTAGAATGCACGATAGAGTTGCACTTTCATTATTGCTAATGCCAATGTATCACCCTCATCGTAACCGAGGTAAGAAAACGTGTGCATTTCCTTGCTTAAAATGATACTTTGCATCTTGCCCCAAAATATCAACGACACCATTGACCTAAAACAAGTGTGTTATGTTTCCTACACTACATTGGTTAATAATTCTTTGGACGGAGACAATTTAATGGATTCTCAACCGTTTCAAGTTTCTATAGTCTCCGAAAAGAAACATCAATGTCCTTCTTTCTCCTACTTCGCAGATACAATTTTACACTTTACCTCATGAAATTTACCTGACAAAAAGTACAAGGCGCATACTCGCTCCGCTAACCTTGGGTTGAAAAAGATTAAAGATGATGACCTAGGAATCCCTATCTCTCTGTTGATCAATAATACCTAGCAATGTTACACCCATCTCAGTGGGTCACACTAAATCGTGTCATTGTTATTCAGTAGTCTAGCAACAACAATGCTGTTTTGATGTCTTCCTCCAGCCCACGTAAAAGAAGTCGTATTCGTCTCGCCCTGTCAATAACACCTTATCGTATAAACGTCCAGGGACCTCACCAACTAACATATAATCGACCCCAGGGATTGCAACATGACGCTGGCAAGGTATTATGCTGTCATGCTTTCTTCATATTTCTTACGTTTCATAACTTAAATTTCACTGATGAATATGATAGATGGCCTTTACATTTATTTTGATTATTTGATTTATCTCTGTACTTTCATGTTTCTAATTACATTGTTTTTGTATTTCAGTTGTCACATGTTGTGAAGTGAAGAAAAAACAAAACATTAATTTAAATGGAATGGATGTTTTAAATTCTTTTTATCTTGAAAAAAGAAGATTCAACCTTTAAATAAAAACCACTCACGGGAGTCAAGAAAATTATATTATATTGATTTATTTCTGCCCCCCCCCCCCTCTTCCTCTCTCTTTCTCTCTCTGAATCCATACAGTCTGTAAAAGGGGGTTCATCAGATACAGAAACAACGTAACTGATCATAATAACATTTATAACATACATGTAACATCCACAGTTATTTGTCCTGATCGTTCCAAATATATAAACCTTTTCAGACCTGACTGATTGTCTGATGTGAGTAAGTATATTCTCCAGCGATTTGTATCTATTTATACCCCACCGGTAACCACAAATACCACTCAGTTGGATATGAAAGTGTTTCTTTTTGAGAAGATAATCCAATCAGATTATGATGACCTCCACTGCCATCCTCGTTTTCTTACCACCGTCTTTACATTTTACATATACTTATACAAAGGATAATCCTCATCGTTCGCATTAACTCGATGATTCACTATCGTCATTCATATTGGTCATATTCATATCATTTGGGTCTCAGACGTATAAAGCGAGTTCTTAATTGATTGATTTGCATATCATAATATGGTTTAATATAATATCTTTGTAGAAATATTAATAACTTTGGAATGAATATATATATATGTTGTAGGCGTTATTATTTTGTTGAGAAACATTCTTCATAGTAATCTTCAAATTAATTGTCATAGCGTCTTCGAAACATGCTACAGAAGACTTGCAGGAGATGTGCTCTCTGATTGCGAGTTTCTTAAAATCAAAGGCAAGTACTGTTAAGAGGAATACCACTTATGTTACGGAATGCAATTGAAAGACAATTAAGATTTATCTGGAAAGAATCATCCAATGGGTGATAAAAGTTGACCAAAATAAAGATAATATTAATAAAAGTGAAAATAGGTATTGCTAGCCGTTATGATGTACCTGGTATTGACCTATCCATAGACCTCTCTGGTATGAGCTTGCTTCTTGTTAAGGAAGATCAAATTTTAGGCTGACACATAAACAAGTGAGGCTAATATTAGGGATGACCTTACGAATGTATCAATTTCACGGCTAGTTTAAGGCTTCCTTAGAATATCATAAGTCACTGACACTTTACCTATAAGTGCCACGAGTCCACGACCTATAA